TCCAGTTAACTACTGGACTGGCTCTTCGACCTAGACCTGGGGCTCAGGGCCATCACGCCTTTCTTGTGTGGCTAAATGGGAGGGGTCTCCTGGCTCGATCCCAGCAGGTTGTGCAGGAGCTCTGAGGGGTCCTGGTATAGTCAAGATTGAGACCCACTTACCTAGAGAATGCCATGTGCCCTATTGTCCTCATTTGATCCTAGCTTGATCCCAAAACCAGACCAAGTGAAGGGACTCTCCTATCTCTATTTAAATAAATGCAGCTACAAATAGAGATGAAGTGTGAAAACAGCAGGGAAAGAATCTCATATAATTAACAAATTAGACTGGAAAAACAAGGGTGTGAACCGACCCCCGTTCTCCAAACTGACGAACATATTTTCAGTCTCTCGATGAATGATGATGGCTCCTTCTTTCTGCTGTTCGGCTCTGAAAGCCATGTACCAGGAGCAAGGTTGGTCTGGCTCCATCTATCACAGGCTAATTATACTTCTGATGCCTCCCAGCTCTGGCTGCGTTAGTATATGTGTAATTGGTGTTTTTATTTTTCTTAGAATGGGGGTAAAATCCCAGCTAAAAACACCAGGAGTAGCTGTGTCTGGACAGGAAGAATTTTTTCATTGCTTAAATCTGGAACCTACTATGTTGACTCTAACACAGGGGTCGGCAACCTTTCAGAAGTGGTGTGCCGAGTCTTCATTTATTCACTCTGATTTAAGGTTTCGCGTGCCAGTCATACATTCTAATGTTTTTAGAAGGTCTCTATAAGTCTATACTATAGAACTAAACTATTGTTGTATGTAAAGTAAATAAGGTTTTTAAAATGTTTAAGATGCTTCATTTAAAATTAAATTAAAATGCAGAGCCCCCTGGACCGGTGGCCAGGACCCGGACAGTGCAAGTGCCACTGAAAATCAGCTCCCATGCCGCCTTTGGCACGCGTGCCATAGGTTGCCTAGCCCTGCTCTAACAACTTGTGTAAGTATAAATAAAGCACCAAAGCTCCTCTTCTCCCTGCTCTTCAAAACTTCTCCCTTCCTGCTCTTTGCTGTTGGTTTTCCCTTTAGAAGTGTATCTTTTAACTCTGTAGCAGGACTGGCTACAGTTGGTTCAAAAGATGCTCGATAAGATAGTTATGTCCTATCTGCTATTGTAATGTGTGGTCCTGTCCAGTGTTCCGTGTATGTAACTGAAAACCCATGTGCATTCTGGGCTCTGCTCTGGTGGCTAGAGGGATAATGGGGGATGTAGGTATTAAGCCTTAGGAAAATGAGGCTCTTGGCTTACAAAGTGCAGAGCATTCATGTTGCTGAGTGACTATCACTTGCACTTCTTGAAAATCAGGATCATGGTTGCTGGGGGCACTGTGCCCACCCAGGGCAATTACTGCCCCTGTAAAGCAGTCGTACCAGCCACTCCTGTCCCCACAGCCACTGAGCTGACGTTAACAGAGGTGGGAGTTGGGGAAAAGACATCTGGCTGAGGGAGAGTCATGGGAGGCCTGATCCAAAGCCCGTTGAAGTCGCTGCAGAGAGTTCCATTTATCTCACTGGGTTTTGGATCAGCCCCTGATACCAGAGGCGAGCGGATCTGCAAGCTTTCACTTCCTACCTCAGGATTAAGAGCTGAGTCAGAATTTTAAAAGGTCTCGGGTTTTGCTAGCAAAGCAAACTGCTTCGAGCTTGGGCTCGGGTTGGTGGGAACCGCTGCAAGGTCTCTGCCTCGGAGTCCCTCTCCCCATAACTGTCTTCATCAGCCCATCTAAAAGCCTGATGCTTAATGAGCATAATTAAGGAAGCTACCGAAACAGGGTGTGTGTGCGTGTGTGTGTTTTTTTTTTACTCCCCAGTCTTGCCCTATCCCCTGTGGCTCTCAAAACTGCAATAACAATCTGCTTTAAGGAACTTTTCTGTCTATCTCCAGGGCCCACAAGAGGGAAGAAAATTAAGCTGAAAGGAAGAACATCAGTAATGCAAAACCACATCCCCAAGTAACACACAACCAACATGGCCATTGCAAACACAGCTTGGGTGGGAAGCCAGGTCTCGGGTCAATTTGTAGGTATATTCACAAAGTCACATGCTTCTCCCAATCCATGCCTGGGCTCCCCACTCCCAGCCATGGCCCAGATCCTCTGTCTCCTCACAGCTCTCTGCTCCCAAGACCCTCAAACTGCCTCCTAGCTGGGGTTGTCATCTTGCCAGGAAGCTGAGTGGCCTGCTTAGCCCTGTGATGTGTTTCAGGAGAGGTGAGTCTCTTCAGGAGGGTACAGGGGGCAAGTCTATCTCCCCCATGGGGCATCTTAAGGGAAAAGGGGGGGGGGGGCGCGGCTTTTCTCCTGTCTCAAAAAGTCCCTCTCATCTACCCATTAAGATCCCCTCCTCCATCCACCACCTCCTCTGCTGCTCCCTTTATGTCCAGTTAGTGATTTACTGGTATTATGGTAGTGCTTGGAGGGCCCTACAGTGCTAGGTGCTGTACATCTCAATAGTGAGAGATGGTTCCTGCCTGGCAGATCCTACAATCTAAACAGACAGGGCAGACGAAGGTTAGGAGAAAGAAAGGATGGCTGTCTCCCTTTTCTAGATAGGCTTGTGAGGGAGAGAGAAGGGTCAGATTTTTCCAAAGGTCTCAGCTCCCTTCTGTGCGTCCAAGTGAGTGGTCAGTTGTTCCCAAGAGCTCAGCGCATTGGGTGCTATGGAGCCCCCATGGGAGCTGCTGCGTGCTGAGCACTCCTTTAAACCTGGCTGTGATGCACCCAAGGTCAAGCAGGGAGTCTGTGGCAGAGGTAGAAACTGAAGCCCTGGGTCTCAGTCCAGTACCTTAGCTACAAGACCGTCCTCCCTCTTGAATCTGACTGTCCTCTCCTCCCCCAGCCCGGTCTTAGTTTCTTCTCCAGAGGTATTTCTGCCTCTTCTCTAGCTACCCCTGAGGTGACAAATACCCCCACCATGTCTCTACTGCACAACATCTCCTCAGTTACTACAGCCCATGTATTACGAGCAGGGAGGCCTTTAATAGTAGGTAGCTCTCTCCAGATCTGGCTGCTCTAGAAGCTGGATCCTACCAGCCAGGGAGGAGGTCCCTCAATATTTCCCTATGGGTCTGAGAGGGATGGGGGTGGGATGGGTCTCCTCCCACTCTCAAGAGAGCAGATGGGATGCAGGCTCCTTGGTTACGCCATAGAGGGGTGTGTGTGTGAGAATGTTAGTCAACTATGCCCCCTCGTCTATCTGTAAGAGCACAGGAGAGGGGACCATCTCCAGATGACATGGAGAAAGCTGGGGGCTGATGAGGGAGGAGGAGTGTGGGGCATGTGGCTTTGTGGTCAGGTTGTCGTCTCTGTTCTCCAGGCCTGGGCCTGATGTGGGGTGGGCAGTCAAGCTGAGATCCACCTGTTCCATTGGCTCCTTGGGCAGGGCGGTTTTGTTATGGGGAGACATTTCCCTTGGGGAGTGATTGGGTCTATGGGAAAAGGTTTTTAGAATGAGTGCAGATTCCCGGAGGGAGGGATTACACCGAGGGTGGGGTTGTGGGCTGGGGGACATAGGGGCCCTTGGTGGGAAGAGGAAGGAGAGGGGCTGGCTGGTTGCTGAGAGGGGGTGGCCACATATCCCTCTTTGAAGGCAGATAAGGAGAGGGAGAGGCAAAGAAGAGAACACCGAGTGGTGATACACAAAGCAGAGGGCACAGAGGACAGGGCACCACCTCTTTGTGCAGAGTGGGGGAGGCAGATGGTGAGGGACGCAGAGAGGAGTGCAGGGCTGGGTGTGGCACAGTGGGAAGTGGGCACTGGGTGGGGGTGGCACAGTGGGGTGGGGGTGGAGGGGAGTAGGTGGCACGGGGGGAATGGGTGGCACAGTGGGAAGAGGGTACTGGGGGCACAGTGTGGCCAAAGGGGAGAGGGTGGCATGATGGGATATTGGGGTAGGGGTGGTATAGGGGATGGGGGTAGTACAGAGGGAGTGCAGGGGAGAGGGTGGGATGTGGTACCGGGGTGGTGGTGGCAGTACACGGGGATGGGGGGTGGCACAGTGAGGGAGCAGGGGAGAGGGTAGCACGGGGAGGGGGGTAGGAACTGTGGGGGTACATGGGAGAGGGTGGCCCTGGGTTGGGGGTGGCACAGGGGGATGGGGTGACAGTGGGGGTGCAGGGAAGAAGGTGGCAGAGGGGGATGGAGTACCAGGGATGGGGAACACGGGAATGTGGTACTGGGGTGGCACAGGGGTATGGGGGGGGGAACAAAGGGATGGGGGGTTCAGGGGAGAGAGGGAAACAAGGGGATGGGGTACCAGGGATGGAGGGGGAAATAGGCTGGGGTACTGGGGTGGCTGCAGGGGAGAGGGTGGCAGGCGGATGGGGGTACTGGGGTGGCACAGGAGAATGGGGGTGTCAGTGGGGGTGCAGGGGAGAGGGTGGCATGGGGATGGGGTACCAAGGATGTAGGGAGGAACAAAGGGATGGGGGGTTCAGGGGAGAGAGGGGAACAAGGGGATGGGGTACCAGGGATGGAGGGGGAAATAGGCTGGAGTACCGGGGTGGCACAGGGGGATGGGGGGTGACAGTGTTGCAGGGGAGAGGGTGGCCCAAGGAGGAGCGGTGCAGGCTGGGGGTGGCCTTTCCCCGCCCAGGACTATCAGCAAGCGGGGGAGAAGCGGGCGAAGTTGCCGGGCCCGTGAGGGCCCTGGCCGCCCCTCTGCAGCCCGGGAGCCCCCGCCTGTCCTGCCGGCCCTTGCCATGCAGTGTGAGCAGGCGGGGGGGAAGAGGCGATCCCGACGCCTTCTCCCTGGCAATGCGCATGATTCTGCGGCTCTGTGCACTGCGCGCTCCAACCCACCTTGAAACGGGGCCTGCCTCCCTCCCTCTGCCCACCGCCCCGGCACTGGCAGCGCCCCAAGCCAATCAACGCCCACTCTCTTTCCCTCCGGCCAATAGACGCCAGGCGGGGGCGGACCAGAGGAGCTAAAGAGCCCAGGCTAGGCTACGCCCTGAGACTTTGGGTGAGCTGTGCCCTAGCTACTAGTGCAGGTGCTTGGTGCATGTCAGGAGAGAGGGAGAGGGGGCTGCAATAGGAAAGGAGGGATGGGGAGAGTGGAGGGAAGGCAGCAAGATCCAGGGATGAGGGCATGAAAAGGGCACCAGGAGGATCCTTTGCACCAGCCAGGGGCTCTGCAATGAATGGTCTCCAGCAAGAAGGGCACTTTTGAGATAGGATGATGCTCCTTATTGATGGTCGGTAGTACTATGATTTGGTATGTGGCCACTTTGATAGCAAGTGTAATCACCACCAGAGGACTTGCAGCTCAAGGTGAGTTGAAGTGCAGCATCTCGCTGCTGTTTCCCCCCGTCTCCCAGTCCTTCTGCCTCTAGCAAATAGCTTTTCGATCTGCCTGCCCCCCTGCCTCTTTATTTTATCTTTATTTTTTGCCAGCCTCCCCTGAGTTGCAAGCATCTGAGCCTTTCTGTTGTTGTTGCAAGTTTCACTCCGGGAAGGAGGAACTGTCAGGGGGATTGTATAAACTTGCAAATCTAAAGCAGCTGATTTGGGTGCCGGGAAGCTAGTTGTGAGAGTATTTCAAGAGTCTGCCTGCAGGGAAACCTTTTGGTCTGACCAGTAGAAGATGCTTACAAGAAAGAGCAGGCTAGAGAGAGAGAATTTTTCTTTCTCATACTTTTCTGAAGCATCAGAAGAAGCATGAGTTGGTATTTTATTTGTAGCCTGTCTATTATATTCTTTGCTTCAGCTTTTAAGAGCGGTGGTTTCTTTCTTTCGTTTTTCCTCCCCCCCCCCCCCGCCCCCGTTTTTTAAGGTGTGGGGAAAGCTTTCAGAGTCTGTAGAGAAATTCCAGGTAGACAAATGTAGAGTTGGCCAATACATTTTATTTTTGATTAAAACGTTTATTGTATTAGCCAACAATTTTTTTTAAAGTGAGCACTCAATGTTGCTATTTTAACAATGCTACTAGAGAGCCATTGAGGGGCTGTTCACTTTTTTTTATCCTGAAGAAAAATATCAAAAGGGGGGGAACCCAATTTAGCAGAGAAGGAATTTGTTTCTGCTGGTCACCAGTTAACAGCTCACCTTTTGTGTTAGAAAGATGTGACTTTAGAGACCTCTTTTGAAGCCCTAGAATTAATAGGGGGAAAAACCCTGGGTCCTTTTCCATGTATTTTTTTTAACTTAAAGCTGAGCAAACTTAATTATGTGGCAAATGCCAGGTAGGAAACATTTTTTTTCCAATCTGTTGTGGACTTGTAGGTGCTTGTGATCAAATGACAGGTGCAAACTTCTAACAGGAGGTGTTGAAATCGATGCAGTGCGCTTGTTTGGGAGGCAGTGGAGAGGTGGGGGGAATGTGAAATCTTATTCAGAGATGTGACTTCAGAGCAAACGTCCTTGCCTTGAGCAACGCGCTGGTAAAATGGGCTGGCCGTACTGCTATACGGCTACCGGTTACAGCATGAGATGCGACTCGTTTCATGTGCATTGCTTATGTATGATGGTTAAGTACTTTAAATGATTCCTAATAGTGCCTGGCAAAACAGGGTTTTTTATTCCTTTTAAGGAATCGGCAGAAAAAGAGCTAGAAGCGCCTCAAGCATCTTATGAAAATGCTAATCATGTTAAAATGACCTCCCTGAGGGCAGTCAACCAAAACTCATGAAGTTTATGAAACATTAGCTTGCACACAGCACTGTGCATTGTGTTCTTGGGTTTGGAGTCATTTGAATGCTGCAAAAATACTCTCCGGGGCTTTGGAATTTTCTCTTTCAAGAAGTGAACCAGATGAGCCGTGGCTGGGAAGGCGAGGAGGCTGTGAGTGACTGATCCCTGTGTGAGGGAAGGAGAGGAAGCCAGGATATCTCTCGCCCACGCCGACAGGAGGCACGCTTCCTATAGGTTTTTCTTCAGCTACTTTTCACTGGGCCAAAGTGGCCTCCCCAGACCTGCCACTCAAGGGGGATGGAGCAGGATGAAGTTTCTCCTGGTTAAAAGCCCTTCCCTGCTTTAGTGAAGGTACAGTAGGATGTGGTCAATGCAAAGTGTGTCTAGTATTGTTTTTAGAGAGCGTATCTCATCCCCTCTTTTTCTCTAGGCATAGGGGTTTTGGAGCAATGTCAGCCCTGCCCCGCTGGTCGTTAATGGCATTTCTCCAGTGGCTTTCATGCTTGGATCCCCAGGAGCATCACACTTACTCAATAAGCCTCAAACGCTCCCTTTGTGAGGTGGGTGGTATCCTCTCCATTTTACAGATCAGTAAACTGAGATGGAGATTTGCTCAAGGTCACTAAGGCAGAGCTGGGAATAGAACCCAGGAGTCCTGATTTCCCATCTCCTGCTTCAGCCACTTGATAGCATTCCTTCTCATCAGTGGCATTGCCTCATTCATCTGGCTGTCACCAGCAAACCCCTTCAACTTCAATGTGGATCCACAGAGGTGTTTCTTTAGCCAGCTGACCCTATTACGCCTTCCAGCCAGTGGTGACCAACAGGTTATATAGCTGAAGAGGTCAGATGACTACTTCAGTTCCAGCAAATGCCTTAATCAAGGGAGCCCGATGGAAAATTAAATTTCGACTTCTTGGCGAGAACTTAATGCTTGGAAGTGAGATTGGCATCTCCACGAATGAATCATAGCAGTCCAGTGGGCTACTGAAAGAACATCTATAGCAGCCCTTTTTCACCAGCCCTCCATATAATTGTCCAATTGCCTGTATGCTTATTGGATAGAAAGGACATTTATCAAGAGTGGTAATTGACCAGGTGTCCCCTCTCAACTGCCTGAGCCCAAGGCTGTAGCCCTGCAGGTAGACAGTGGTTGCCATTCAAAGTGACCCTTTCCTGATAGCCACCACCATTATTTCTTCTTCGCAGTATAGGGGAAAGCTGGCATCTCAGTCCCATATTACTGTTTATTCTGGGTACTGTGGTAGTGCCTAGGAGCCCCAGTCAAGGATGGTGCTAGGTGCTGCACAAAAACTGAACAAAAAGACCAGACACTACCTGCTCCAAGGAGCTTACAATCTAAGACACAAACCGGTGGAGACAGGCAGACAGATGGGTGCACAAGGAAGAATGGTAGCCTCTGTTAGGCCGATGTACTCTGAGGCCAAATACTGTAATGGCCCTCAGATACGGGCCCCCTGATAGGCAACTCCACTCTCCAAGTTCTCCATCGTTGCAGGGTCTGTTGCGCCCTACCCTGATGGCAGGTATATGCTGAGTTAGGGATGTGATGTGATGTCCTCCGCCGTGGTGACTCCCTGTAAGTTGCTGCTTCTCCCTTGCTGCTGATGGGCTACGCTTGGCATCTGTAGCTGGTTCAAAGAGTTGGCCAAGCCCTTTCCACCAGCTGAAATGCTGGGGTCTGCCGAGCAGGAGGATAATTTGCAGGGGCAAGTCCAGAATGATCCTCTGTCTCATGGAGAGATAAAGAGGGGAAGTTCTTGTTGCTTAAAAATACTATGAATAGAATCTCTTCTTTGCTGGAGGGTCGGGGTGGGGGTGGGGAGAAGCACTCTGCCCTCTTCCTGAGTGGAAGGGGATGCTTAACTCTGCGAGTGCCGTAGGGAGACCGAGAGCTCCCAGCTGGGGCAGTGCCTGCATGTTAAACATGGAGAAACAGGAATTCTGGGGCAGAGCATGTGCATTGATGGGGGTCAAGGGACTTGGTGTCATGCGTGTGTGCGGGTATGCGTGCACGTGTGCGTTGGGGGTGTGTGTGATGAGTGAGTAGAGTAGACGTGCTGAGTGAGTGTACTATGAATAATGCGTGGGAGCAGACTGAGTAGACTGTGCGTGGGGCGGGCGAGCTGTGTAGTGAGTCTGCATGTCGATGAGGCTGGAGTGCCATTGTGTGTATCATGAGTGAGGCTATTGTGGATGGTAGGGGAGTGCGTGCGTGTGCTGTGTATTGTGAACCTGTGTGATATGAGTGAGTGCACTATGCATAGTAGGTGTCCTGTGTGTTGTCAGTCGGCTTGTGTGTGTTCTTTCCGTGTGCTGTCCCAGCTTTGCACAGGTAGCTGACTAAGTAGACCTTGATATTACTACAAAGGGTTAAGGCAAAGGACCCCAGCATTATAACAAAAACAAACTGGAATAAACAATTTACATCCTACTTTACAACATTTGTTTTATAACATTTGTTTATCATTTTTGTTTCTAATTGTTTTAAACAAAACATCCCTATTTATTTCCTTAAGCCACCTTCTCTTGTACTAAATTAAAATGCATTTGTACCAGCTGAAATATATTTACGTAAATATTTACTGCCTAGAATGCTAGCAAGAGCTTTGCCAAGTTTGTGTACTGAACAGTGAACTTGTCAGCATTTGCTTTAATACCTGGCCCATCTTTAGTTCTCATCCTCTGCTTTAGGCCTCAAATCTTGCATCAGGCCCGGTGCTCCAAGCTCTCTCTCATGCACATTGAGGACCGTGGGGGTGTGTCCCCTGTGCATAATTGTCCTGTGCACGAGGGGGCTCGTGAGCGTGTATGTGTTGTGTGTCACAAGTGAGCATGATAGAGGTCAGTGCACAGCAAGGGCCCTGAGTAGATGTGTACTATGCAGTGTGTGGAGGGGTCATGTGAGCACGGGAGGTCCGTAAGGACTTTCTCCTTGGGCTTTCAGGCAGGGCAGGCTAATGGGGAGAGCTGTCTGTGGAGGGCTGCTCTGTGTGATTCCTTAGAGCAGTGGTTTTCAACCTATGCTCCGCGAACCTCTGGGGGTCCACAGACTATGTCTAAGATTTCCAAACGGGTCCACACCTCCACTGGAAAATTTGTAGGGGTCTGAAAATGAAAAAAGGTTGAAAAGCACGGTCTTAGAGGGATGACTAGCCTGGCCTCAGTGTCCTGGCTCTGGAGAGCTGTTCTGTCTCCTCTTGGGATGCCTCCATGTGCATCATCTCTGTGGGTGCAGCCCAGCAAGGTCTTACCCTTAACCTGTGGGTCTGAGGCAGGACAGAACTGGGCAGCTATCTGCATGAGCCTGACCTGCTAGCTTGCGTTTCTGCAGCTCTTCAGCCAATAAATGAACTGCGAGGAGTCTTCTAGGCCAATAGAATTTGGAAACCAGAAGTTGTCCCCACCAGGCTGGTAATAGGTGGGAGGAGACGGCCCAGGGTTCTCCTCTGTCCTTTCGCTGCAGCTACATGCCCCAAAAAACCTTCAGCGCACGAGACAAGCTGGCCAAAGCCAAGGAATTCAGAGTGAAGGCTGTAACTCCGTATCGCCTGCGCGTGACCCTGGAGGCAGCTAGGCAGTGGCAGCCTTCGCTCCCGATGACTTGGCTTTGCAAAGTT